ATGGTGAAAAGAACTCTTACTGCGGTACGAAGCATTCTATTAACTGCAACGGTTGATGAAGAGTGGCATTAATGTTTATTCAAACCATGAAAATTACTTCTAAAATATGGATTTCTTATTTTCCTTGCACAGCATTTGAACCAAAACTGGGTCGCTTCTCATTATTTCCATTGCTGTTAGGGATTCCCATGTTAAATCCTTGCAATACGCCATTCTGGCCTTGATATCCTCCTTGATTTGTTGCGTAGCCACTAAGACCAGAGTTTCCGAGAGGCATCCTTCCATTATTGTTCACAACTGGGAAACCTCCATTGTTGTTCTGGAAGCCTCCATTGCTGTTCGAAAAACCTCCATTTGTTCCTGGAAAGCCTCCTGTACTTCCTTGATATACACCGCTGTTTGCTGGATACATTCCGTTGTTGTTGGGAAACCCTCCATTGTTTTCTTGGAAATTTCCTTGATATCCCCCGTTATTTCCAGCATAACCTCCATTATTTTGTGGAAAGCCTCCACTATTTCCTGGGTATGTGCCAGTGTTCACCGGAAACATTCCATTCATTCCAGGAAAGCCTCCAGGATTTCCTTGATATCCTCCATTGCTTCCAGTGTAGCCTCCATTATAGGCGTTTCCTCCATTTTGTGAGTATCCTCCATTGTTTCCCGGATAAATGCCGTTGTTTCCCGAGAGACCTCCGTTGTATCCAGGATATATTCCGATGTTTCCTGAGAGTCCTCCCGTACTACCTAAACATAGACATATTGCAAACCAGATTAATCTACATCCTTCTAATTTTTGATTACCTTGATTACTGGGAATAGCATTCAGCAGTGATGGCATGTAAGTTTTCATTATGAATTCGATAGCCGCTTTTTGTTTATCATCAAGTGTACTTGTCAATGCAGCTGTTTTGTTGTATGCCAACATTATTGATTGTTTCTAATAAGCAAAATTGTTCAATTCAAAGCAATATACACAAAAATGTATCGCTTGAAGTTTTATGTTAAAAGGAAAGGGCTCACCTTGTCGTCACCAATTTTAAAATAATCATTGAAAAATTTTGTTAGTTTGGGGAACAACTCGGTGATGGCCTTCTTGAAATCTGCATTTTCCTTCTCAGAATCCGCTACAAACTTCTTGTACTCTTGCTGAAATTATTCACTTGTAAGATATAATCTAGGACACCAACTGCTCATACCTCAAGCCCGTATGTTTTGGACCAATTTTCAAGAGCACTCTTGACATCAGCGAGTGACTGCGAGAAGTTCTGAAGAGAAAAGCAGGTAAGGAGTGTTTCCAAGGGGCAGTGTGCCTTTGATACGAGACTTTCGCTCTAGTCTCATCTTTTTCTCTGTAATACCTGTACGATTTGAGAGTACGCCCCAACAGCTTGTGGCGAGGCCCTAGCCAGTATTCCATCCAATGTACTGCTTTGAACGTTTACGTTCTAAAATAGATCTATCTCATTCAATACACGTCTTCACTGATCTCAAGACACTCAAAGAGATATGGGCTATGAATCAAGCATATTGGGAGTACCTGGTTGTTGTTGTTGTTGTAGGAGTTATAGGGATAATAGGGATTGTAGGAGGTGAAGCAGAATGCACTTCCAACAGACAGCAAAAATAATGCAGTTTTCATTCTAGAATATAGCACTGTAATAAGCACTATCACTATTTAAGATGATGCATGAGCTACTTGCAAGGAGATCCATATTTTCAGCACCCCCTCCAGTCTGCCTCAGACTCAGATGAGCTCAAAGGTTGCAAAAACATAAGTAACGCCTTTTTTTTGGACGTCTGTCCAAAGCCATGAGTTGAAAAGATTTAGAAAAGTTCCTTCAGTAGCGTTACCGTGCAAT